CCTATGATGCTACCCCACTACGTGCTCTCCCAATCTCCAAGCCTTTGCAGTTCAGAGATTTCTTGAGCTAGAGGTAGCTTCCATTCATTGCAGATCCCAATGGATTTCTCTTTCACAACTTGTCCAGTCTTCACCAGACCACGTTAAACATTTATCACACACAACAGCCTGTAGAAGCGCATTCCACAACTTAACTACATGCTGGGTTAAGGAGCCAAGGACCACTGGAACAGCTCAACCCAGAGGCTATTCAGTTCGTTCAAATATTCCCATAAAGTAATTAAATACAATTGAAAGATACATCCAAGGTTTTTAAGTTTACAATAAATTGTTCACCCACAGGGCAAAAATGCAGAAGCAGCCCAAAATTAATTGCAGCCATTCACTAATATCTCACTTCTGTGAGATTGGCTCTACAGCAAGAGCCACCCACTGAACACATGTTGCAAGCCTGTTTATAATCCACTTCAGTCATTTGCTCTGTTTTGGAACAAGATGACTACCAAGCCAGTTTCCAATCCCTTCTAAATGTGACAAGGGATTTCATGGCATCCGCCAAGCACTAGATCAACCACCAAGTTACACAAGTTAAAGAACAGCCATGAAGTATTAAGTTTATTTCCTATATATCTGAATTGACCCAGAAGAAATGTAAGCAACACCCCTCTTAGCAGATGATAGGAACTGTGCTACATGTAAAATTCTTGTTCAGTCACCTTATAAGCAAGATTTATATGGGACTTTTTCAGTATTATCACTGCTACTTACGGACTTGAGTATCTTGAAAACGCTTCCAAAAAGACTTGCCAGTTGTTCACCACCATCACATCCCAGAGGGTCACCACTGCTGCCTAAATAACATGAGTAAAACAGAAGCTGAGTGGCTATATTACACACTTAAGCCTCAGAAAATGAGGGGAAGAGATGAGCAGAGAGGGTAAGAGGGACAGATTCCGCCAATGATCAGACTCACAGCAAAGTCATCAAAGTTGTTCGGCCAATATTCCAGCTGTTCGTAGGTCCCACACTGCAGAGTTCCATTACCGTACGTTGTATTGACAGCACTATAAGAGAATCACAGGCTGATGACAGCATAGCTTTCTGTGTTCTATACCTTAACCCCAAGATTCTTCTGAGTGCCTTGTAGAAAGTTAAGTATCTTGTATGGGCAGAAAAACAATGGAAATAGTTACAAAAGTATTTAAGCTACAGCAGGGTAAGAATTCAAGCTACAGATAAGCATTACTGCAATTGCAATACAAGAAGAACGAAAAGGAGTTACAGATTTTTAAAAGTCTGTGTGATTTAACATTAAAAGAAGGGTGGCTCCAAGCATAAGAGGGGAAAAAACCCCACCCACAATGAACCACAAACAACTCTGAGGTACCAAGTCGCAGATGCTTTTGAAAAACAGACTCTGAGTAGTGATGTTTAGAATGTTACCTGGTATTTCCCAAGGGAACAACAGCACCTTTAAATAGCATTATGCCAGTTATAGCAAATGCATAGAAAACCACCTGGAAGGAATATAAGCAAGTATTAGTTTTGAATATTTCTGTCACTAAATAAGAAACCAATGCAGTTAACATGGAATTCGCGTTAGTACCACAGTTAAAGGAATTTGGTCGAGAACATGCCTGAAGCTATTAGAGTGAAAATACTTCTCACTATCTGTATTACTTAACTGTTCACTCTTTTTAATATTCTTTTTTACTTTCAGTTGTTAAAATGCATTAAATCATTTTACTTTACAATCTATTTTACTTTTCTGTGTCTCAGAATGCTGATACTTAACTATCAACACTGCAAAACAGTGATTTAAAAAACAAAACCAAAACCAGCACCTGTATTTACAAGGAATAATCTAAATATCTGGGGACCTTTCTGCTAGATTCAGTGAAAATGAGCTTTTACTAAATTTAACTGAAGGCCAAAACTAAGTCAGTATTTTATATTACATCAGCAACTTCTTTAAAAATGTTATATTGATCTAAAAATAAAGGTTTCAATAACGCAAAGGATTTTGGAACTTCTGTCTTTTACTTGTTAGAAATGCAAACTTCTTTTTAAAGAGATACTTTTCACAGTCTTCAGCAGTTGCCTAGGTGATTTTGCAAATTTTATCCTAAAAAGATTATTCTAGAAACAACCTAGCACTTTGCTCCTATGAGTAAAGAGCCATTTGTCCTAGGATAGCTTCAAACAAGCCGAGTCTTCAAAGGAAAATGTCATTAGTCATATTTCTGTATTTTGCTACAAAACAGACCCAAGAAGGAAGTCTGGGAGGAGAAGAGAGACTGCCTTGACCTATGAGTCACAGCCCTGTGAACGCTACTGGAATTAGGTGAAGCTGACATTCCACAGCCGGCCAGAAGATGGAGTTTCTGGCTTGGTAATAAAGTTAATTCTATTCTTTGGAAAAAGATATGCCCAAAACACAAACCGCCTGAGAAATTAGCTAATCAATTACATTACTTTATCAGTGTGTGTTCCAGGTTAACATTAGGAAAGATGTTTTGCATCAGCTGCTAATGGAGTCACATCACTACGGTAGCGGTTCTGTGACAGCTTCTACATAGCCTCAAGTAATAGCAAATTATATTCAATGGAAGCAGCAAACACCATCGTAGACTTGCCTCACAATTGGTGCAAAGCTACAATTCACACTCCCTGCATTAAAGGCAATCAGCAGCACACGCTTAAACCATTTAATGAGCGTTACTTCTTAAACATAGCGGTAGGGACACCATGTTGAAACACTAATGCATAATTCCTAAAAATAAAGTCAAGCCTATTACTACAGGCTCCTGTCGTCTTAGCTGTGTCTTTCAGGAATAGAAAATTGCTTCCAGCAGAATGCTACAGCCCAGGTGCAGCCGTGCCAGTAGCAACACAACTTTGGGGTCCCAGTGTAAAGTGCAAACCAGCTCGCCCCATAATTACTCTCTCCTAGGGCTTGGATTTGTGGGCTCTGTCAGATCCAGCAGCAGCAATGGCAGTATCTGCCTCTCCCACCTATCCAGGACACAACCCTACCAGCCTCCGAAAGGGTGATAAGCAAACGTGTGTTTCTTTAGCATGGTGTACGTACTTAACCAAGAACAGGCAAAGTTAGTAAAACTGCAGTCAGCCTTTAGACAGTTTATTACAGTGAATAACAAATTGGGTAATTAAAAGTTTTTTGTTATCCTAAACCTCTTCCTAGCACATGCAAGATTGGCATTTAGGCTCTTAAGATGTATTTTTCACATGCAAAAGCTAACTTCCCCATTTGCGCACTCCCAAAGTATTTCTCGGTTTCAAGCGTGACTTGTACAGCACAAGAAAGTTGTTGCCAACTTAGCTTTGCCCAAACCAATATCTTTATTTCAAACACAAGCCATTCCAGACTGCAACTTAAGGTTCTCCCCTACAGATAAAAGCAGAGATGACTAATGACAAAAACTGCATGCTAAGTATATAGACTAGAATAACTTTTTAGACAATACCTAACAGACAGCAAATCCTTGGTCTCTAACCATTACCTCAAATTAAGGTGTCCTAAAAAACCCCAAACAACAAGAAAAAACTACCCAGGCACTACTTTGCTCTACCAGGAAGGCATCGTTGCAAAGCCAGAAACTCAAGTGTTGGGAAATGGAGGATTTATGTAATGGACATCACACATTGTGATCCCTCCCTTAATGACATGTTTACAGAGTATATGCTCTGCCCACACACACCCAAAACAGGATGGTAGAGGCTTTTAAAAATCACGTCCAAACATGCTATCTCAAGATGATCCCAACTGAAAACAATTTTAAAGTTCTTTTGCTATTTAATTTAACATAAGCGAGTCAGGGTAAGGAAAACTAGGCTACTCTTATGATCAGATGAATTTTTATTTGAAACTAGACTATCCAGCCTGAGGCAAGCACTCTGAGGAAGTTTCAAACAATCTTTCAAAGGCACTCCTAAAGGAAACTGGTAAATGAGGCACTGTCACTGTGTGCAGCCCATAACAAAACAGTAGTTTGTTGCGGCTTTACAAGACATGCCCTGGAAAAGAACTGGCTGATTAAGGTGAAATGTTACTGTTTATGGTGATTGTCAAAGAACCGTGTTTACTTGATTGAAGACATACCCTTATTATATTGCTAACTAGAAGAAAGGAAATTACAATCTTGCATCATGACTTACCACAAGGATTCCTGCAAAGGCTCTCAAGTTTTTTACCAGATCCAGCAATGTAGTAACCACCAAAGCCATGAACTAAAACAAAGCAGAATTTTATATGCATAACATTCACACTTCCAATCCGCATCAAATTATTTTTACTAAAAGGACAAAGAAATACCAACCAGCGAAGTGAGATATGCCTAAATGCAGGCCACCTGTTCTACAGTGATATTTCCATGAGGTACTTGAAATAAATGAACAATGCTGTAGTCCTTTTCATACACACGCATTATGATAAGTTTTATATATACACTGTGACTTAAAGGTCTATATGCCTGATGAGACTAGGACAGGAAAAAAAAAATTCACAAGTGCCCCACAGGTCCAGAGTGATCACATCATATTTGATTCACATCATTTCTAGTTTACACTTTCCACTGATATTACCTCTGATTACAACAGGTAGATATTTATGGTTATTAAAGTAAAATACAAGTTCTGTACCTGACATTAATTTAGGCTTAGCTTTCAAGCAAGTCTAAACGCAGGGTTATAACAAACAACTCAAAGTGACTTCCGATTCAAGTACAAGTATTCTGGTGGAAATACCCAAACTGGGAAAGTAGAAAGAAAGATTATTCCTAAATAACTCTTTGCATGACCAAAATGTCTGGCATTATCTAGTGAAAGAAAGTCTATCACCTCCTGAGTACAAAGTTCTTCAAGGACACCATATCCACACAACTAATTAAGATTGAAGCACTACACAAATTGCACAAAAAGTATTCTGGATAGATTTGCTCACTTCAGAATACCAGCATCGATCGCAGTGACATCAACAGAACTTCCCTGACACCTCAACAGAGAAAACCAGCTAGAGAGAGAGCTTGTGAGGCACTGTGCAATAGTTATAATCCCACTCAGGTGCAAGAGAATTGCAATCTACTGCATGTTATTCTAAAAGGCTTTAATAAAATTTATAGTTTAACCAACAAAGAAATCAGAAGTGTGGAGAGGTAAATAAACACCTTCATATTAGGAATAATCCGCAGGAACCTGAACACAATGAACATATTCACCAATCGCACCATATCCCACAAGGATAACAAGCCCATGAACTCGGGTCTCCTAGGAAAGACGGAAGAAAACAAATCAGAGAAACAGCCCATGACAGAAAGACATAGTTAAATCGAGCGGGCTGCAGGTAACTAAATTCTCCACAACTTCTGGTTAACATCCATGGCACATTAAAATATTTGGAGGGCGAAGCAGTTTTATTTCCTTGTGTAAACACTCTTTATAACCTATAACTGACTAGAACACTGCATCCAGTTTTGTAATCCCCAATACAAGGAAACAACAAACTGCAGCAAGATCAGCAGAGGGCCAACGAGATGGTCAGGGGCTGATGCACCTGCCCTACAAACAGAAGCTGCAGGAACTGGGCTTGTTCAGCCTGGAGAGCCCTGCTTCAGGAGGACCTAGCAACAGCCTTCTAATACTTAGGAAGTGGTCCTCAAGAAGACAGAAGCAAGGCTGCTTAGTGGTGCAAAGTAGGACGACAAGGGACAGCAGATGCAAACTCAAAGAGTGGAGGCTCACACTAGGCAAAGGAAGAACTGAAGAACTTGTCAGCCATCAGAACAGTGAGACGGAGACACAGGTTACCCAAAGAGGTTGTGCACGTCTCCATCGTTGGAGATTTTAAAGACCCAGCTGGATAAAGTGTAAGTAACTTGCTTTGAGCGGGAGGCTGGACTAGAGACCTCCTGAGGTCCCTTCCAGCCAGAATTATCCTATATAAAAACCTATAATCTGTGAAAGGAAGTACATCAAGTTACTGAGCAGGAATCCCAGCTACAGTAAACTCTAATAACCGATGAAGGAAGCAATCTGTTTAGCCTAGGCTCTTCAACATGTATTTAGTCTCTTTAAAGTGCATCTTTGTGCTAAAATACCTGGGTAAGTGGCCTTCCTTCTGCTGAGGGGGAGGCACCAAAGAGGGCCATTTCAGAAAACAAAGCAAAACAAAAATACTGCTATAGCGAGATGCTTTAGGAACTTGCACAAAGATGTGCGTTAATCCTTCAGGGTGTGCTTGGCTGAAGTTAGGCTTCAAAGAAAGCACTAAGATAACAGTCTTGCCAACCTTTTTCCTTATATGTCTATTCCACAGGTGATACACCTACGCTCCAAATGTCAGCCTGAGTTTTAGCTGACTTTTACATTGGCATGCTGGATGCTTCTTTGCTGAAAAGGTGGGTAGGTGGTGAGGGACAAAAGATGTTAATGAAAAACCTCCCTGGTAACACAGATGCTAACTCTTGATTTGCATCACCAACATATTCAACCCTAGTAACAAATTACTCAAGACAACACTGCATAGAATGTATATTCTAGAATAATAATCACGTCTTAGTCCTGTCCTGAAGATGTTACATCTACAGACCGAGCATTTACCAACAGCGCACACGATAAGCGGCATCAGGACTCAGAATGTCTCATCTGGGTTAAAATCTGTTTGCAGTGACTGACACAAAGATCTAACAAGTATTACTGGTGCTTCAAGATATTATTGTAGTGCAAACAATTGTCTACATTCAAGAATCAAAGGGCAAAAATCAAACCCAAATATAATCAACTATAAGTTTGATCAATAGTTAATGCCATTAGATTGTTAGCAATTAATATCCTTACGGTAACCATCACTTTTGAGCAACAGGAGTGCAAGAAGTGTTCAAAAATAAACCCATTTCTAGCTGTAACATCTATCAGGTCTCTTCACAGGTACTAGTGTAAATTAAGATAACTTCTTGACTGCAACATAACTAATACCCTGAAAAATTAGGGAGAGACAATGTCTTAAGAATGAGCTTGTGTAAAGAAACAAAGTATCAGAACATGTTATAAATCACCCCTGAAAGTAAGATTCGGGAAATCTTCCAGAAGTCCTTTGCTTTCCTCTTTTGTTGTGGTAGCAATTTTCAAATTTTAAGAGATGAAACAATGATTTTTATGCTTTCGATAATGAAAAAAGATCAAGATAGTTATCCAAGAACTGCTTGAACTTCAGAAAATCAAATACAACTGCTTGCTACTCCAGTATAGATAAATAATTTAAGTCCATGAGAACTGTTTTACTAAATTTTACAGCACAAAACTCAGACTTCAATCTACACACAGGGTTGAAGGGGCTTCACCAGCCGTTTAGGAATTCATGTGTAATTTCCCTTCACTTATCCATATTGCATGGCCTTTAGTGACTACAAGGGTGAGAAATTCCAGTAGGTTTAGTAAATTATGGACTGGGTTGACAATCATAGTTCAATGACATAAGCATGTACAAACATGTCTGTATATTCCCCTGAACCATCCCAAACATTGAGCAAAGTGCAACAGTTCAGAGAGATTACATACCAACCACGATGAGGAAATCCATACACAGCAAAAGTTGCTATCTCCAAAACCTTTAGTTAAGAAAGAAAGAAAAAAAAAAAAAAAAAGAGTCAAAACCTTACTTCATAATTCTGAGTTACAAAATTCATGACAGGAAACATTTTCAAGAGCTTTGAGCCACTAATTTGACTCACTTCAAAGCCCTGAAATCGTCATTTTTGACTAGGTATTCCCCAAATTAATCCAATGTACACACATATAAGGATATACAATGAATTACATTAACCATGAATTTGGCTTCGTCTGCCATATGGGTTTCAGGCTTTTATCAAATAATGAAAAATAATCTTCTGCCACTTTTTTCTTTATCCAATAAGGAAAGTGATCTTTAGCTACGGAACAGACTTCCTTATGTAATGGAGTCCAAGAGCTGAAGGTTTCCAAACAGCAATAGAAAGGCTGCTCATAAGAAAGCTCACCTTTTCCATCAGTTTAAGAAAACCTACCTCCAGAAAGTAGACTCTAAGAGTACCATGCCCCACCAAAATATTCAAGCCACTGAAAACCACAACACTCGCTCATCCTGTTTAACTTGGTATATTAGTGCTGAATAAAAAGCAATTCCATTAGCTTTTGCAGTTCCTAACCATCTTAGTTAACAAATCCAGAAATTCAGAAGTTAACTAGAAGCTTACCAGCAAAATTACAGTCAGAAGTCCATCAAATCTATTGCTTGGGTATGACAAGTATCTTTTCAAGCCCATTGCTAAGATTTTCAGCAACATTTCCAGCAGGTAATATAAGATGAAGAAGCAGTTGATAGCCTTCACCACAAAAACAGTAATAATTAGAATTATTGACATCTCAGGGAACAGTAATAATTGTAGGAATACTGCTGCATCTTACCCCCAGGAAGAAATCATCTCTTTCAGAAGGCTGCTTATCTGCATCCATCACCAAAACCACCTTAAACAACAAGAAATATTTTATGAATCCACTACTTTACAGCTGAACAAAACAGATATTTAAGCACAAGAACAAAACGGTCTTTTTGTTTTGCATAGACCTTTTCAAGCATTCCCAGAATATAATTTTTAACTGGAGGTGTTCTCTAAGACTTTGTATGACTGAAGCCTGCCAAACTTGGACATCTGCTGCAAAAAGTGGTTATCAGAACAGACACTAACAAACAAGAGCAGGACTGAAGTTTGTAGTGGGAGTCAGGGGGGAAAACAAACCAAAAAAACCTTTTACTTACACAGATAGACACAATGTTTGCAAGGGCTACAACATTCCCCAAGTAGCCAAAGTAGGGATGGCCACAGGCAAACTGCATTTTCTGCATAAAACGGGATTGGTACTCTGGACTGGGAGGATGCTGAAAAGAACACAAAGTATAAGCATTTTAATATTGGTGCAGGTAAAACAACCCAGCCTCAGATTTAAGAAATAAACCTTTTCAAAGCCAAACTTTTCAAGGCCACATGCTAATTTTGACATCTCAGAAAGAAGGTGCTTTCAAGTTCTGGTTATTAACAGCAAGAGATCATTTCTGATTAGCAAACGGGTTGGCAATTATGGAACACCACAAGATGATGGCAAAGAAAGGAGATAATCCAACCTTTCTCTAACTCCTATTCCTCATTTCCTGGTAATGAGTCTTCCTATCAAACAAAATACACAGAGCCCTCGACTAAGAGCAATCCATGAACAATTTAAAAATCGATGCTTGATCATGTCCCACATTCAACTAGTTATGAAGTTTGTTTATATGCTTTATAGCAGAATACTATCACTTATTTTTGTGCAAGAACACACTCAGCTTATGATACTTTATAAATCATTGACAGATACATACTTGCTTAATGGCATCTTTGTCTAGTTCTTCAAAGAGCTTCTGAAACTGGGCAGCTGACAGCTGGTCACAGGAGCACATTTTGAGTGACTTCACATGAAAGAGAAACATTCAGATCAACACCTGCAATATGTGCATCTTCAAAGAGTGCCAACATCCTCAGACTATCTTAGAAGTCTAGGAATAGAGATGTAATACAACCTACACCAAGATATTAGAGCAAACTTCAGTATTTCTTTGCTTTAACACAAGACTGCCATATGACTGTGGGATTTGTCTTGTCTTTTCTATTTTCCTTCTCTGGGATCACATGCTGCTTAAGAAGGAGCATGCTCTTCTGACATCCTTTAATTTTTAGTCTCATCTAGTATGGCCATTAGTATCTTCATTCCTTTGATCAAAACATGTCAGTTATGATTGTTTTGCAGAAGTTACTACCTGAAAGGATGGAATTATTTCACAAATTGTAACATGAAGACACTTCCATAGTATGCTAAACACTAACTGCAACTGTAGCACACACAGCAACAAGAAGATAAAACTAGAACTTGGATTTGTGTACCTAACTAACAACGCAATGGACAGCTCAGTGTAACTACAGAGCAGGGTGTTTATTTTCAGGTAACTCTGCTTACACATGCCCTATCCCAGACAACAACTGGAAGCAATACATGTATACCTCTTCATTCCACTTCCAGTCTTCACACTGAAGCCAGCCAAATGCTGATGCTATAACCATCAGCTCTGAATTGTCACTTCCTTTTGGCAGAAGATCTTACAATATGGACTTCGAAATCGTGCTGCAATGTTGTTCTCTTTTAGATGTTTTTTTCTGAAACCACACCAATAATCTCCACATCTCCTATTAGAGCTAAATAATTTCTCAAATCTCTGAAAACTATCACATGAACTGCAGTATTACTTAAGTCTTTACTTAAGCAAAACCACCCTCCCTGTAGCCTGATAAAAGTATTAATACCTAGAGGGAGCAGCACAGCTAAAATTCAATTAAAAAAAAAAAAAAAAGACATTTTCAAATGGTAGAGGGAAGCTCCTATAGACAGCAGCCCTAAACCACAGTGAGAAATGCTTTACAGAGAGAAAGTAAAGCAAATGAAAAAATTAGCTCTGCAAAATAAGAGTTTTCATGACTCTACACCTCTACAGGTGAATGAATTCCTTATCACACCAACCAAAGAAGCAGCAATCTTAAGGTGAAATCATTGCCTAGAGACTGTTTTTGTTCTGAAGTCCCCAAAAGACAAACAGACACTGAGCTGGGTCTCTGTTCACACTTAAAGAAAGCAGCATAAAGCAAGCTGAGCTAAAATCTACTACTCCTAGATCAATGGTGTGATTAAGGAATTTTCCATAGCTGTCCCATCAGGGTGTTTGATAGTCACCAACATAAAGACTGAGAAAATCCAGTTCTTACTCTCATGATGGCTTGCTTGCAACGAGAATCCATTTCAACTTTCTGTAGCACTCGTAGTAAGGCTCCAGTACTGACATGCGACCTATTTAAAAGAAAATAGGGTGGGCCTTGAAACAGATAACCATCTTGATGGCAAAAATAGCTGTTCCAAATGCATT